CAGACATTCCATTGTGACGGCCACGGGAGGTGGCGTGACTGGCAAGGGTCTCGACCAATCGCGGAGACCGATGTAGCGAGCGAAACGCGCAGGAGGGACGATCGAAAGGCTCCCGAAATCCCGTCTACCAAAATGTCGCTTCAACCGCCTTGGCGTGATCGAGGCGGAAGGGAGTCCCGGAGAGTGACTCAGAAAGAACGCTCATGCTCTTTTGTCAGCGGCTCTCCGTTTCCTTGATATGCGTCATGTAAAAAAAAAAATGCTGAGCAGAAAACACATTATTTTAGTATATTGTGCGCACGCGCAGATAGATGCGCACAGACACGGAGAGGGAGAATGATTTAATATGGAAGAGGAAAGCGGCACGTGGATGCCTGGGTGCTGTACCACAAAGGCAGGAATAAAAGGTGGCGGATCTGAGCTTAAAACAATGGGGAGAGTAGAAGATAATATTGCTAATTCTCAAAAGAGAGGGGATGGGATTAGTTGCCAGCCTCCAGGTGGGAGTCGAATCAAAACATCCGCAACAAAGAGTCAATAATATATATATTATTATATACAATTGTTTACTATAATAGTAGTGTATGGCTGCTAGAGTTGGACTATAAGGAAGGCGGAGCGCCAAAGAATAGATTTCTTTTGAACTATGGTGCTGGAGAAGACTCTTGAGAGTCCCTTGGACCGCAAGGAGATCAACTCAGTCAACCCTAAAAGAAATCAACCCTGACTGTTCCCTGAAAGGCCAGATAATGAAACTGAAGCTCAAATACTTTGGCCACCAAATGAGAAGGGAGCACTCACTGGGGTAGACCCTGATGCTGGGAAAGATTGAAGGTCAAAGAAGACAGGGACGGCAAAGGATGAGATGGTTAGACAGTGTCATCGATGCAACGAACATGAAACTGAGCCAACTTCAGAGGACGGCGGAAGACAGGAGGGCCTGGCGTGATCTGGTCCATGGGGTCACAAAGAGTCGGACTCGACTGTGCGACTGAACAACAACAACAGTGATTCTCTAGAAAAATCTCTTCTATTTCCGCTCACAGGCAGGTTGCTTTATCTGAGCGTGTAGAAATTACCGTTCTTATCAATTTCCACTTGTCAGCTCTTGAAATAAACATCCCATGTTGACTGTCTCATATCAGAATCCACTCTTTGTCATTTTTGTCAGGGATGTTTTGATTGGACTTCCACCACCTCCCCTGATCTCTCACCTTTGGCTGAAGCCTCCAGGTGGGGCCTGGAGCTCTCCTGGAGTTGCAAGTGATCTCCATGGAGATAGATGAAGATCTGTCCATAGCAGTAGAGAGAAAAAAAAGAGTCACACCAGTTTGGTGTAGTGGTTGAGTGCGCGGACTCTAATCTGGGAGAGCTGGGTTCGATTCACCACTCCTCCACTTGCACCTGCTAGATGACTTTGGGCAAGCCGTAGTTCTGGCACAGCTGTTCTTGAAAAAGCAGTTTCTGTCAAGAGCTCTCTCGGCCCCACCTACCTCACAGGGTGTCTGTTGTGGGCAGGGCCGGCTCCAGCCTTTTTTGAACACTAGGCAAGGATACCTTCTGGTGCCGTCCCCCCCATTTTAAAATATAAATGCATTTTAGGAAAAATGAAAAACACAAAATTTGAAGTTGCTATTTTAATTGTGAAAAAAGTAATACCATCTCTGATTTGATGCCTGTAAACCATCAAGCTACTAATTGCAAAACTATTAAAAACCCAAATGTTTACACACCTCCAGAGACTTTCTCTTTGCTCCATTAGAAAAGTAATGTGTGCAGAGGGGCTGCAAGTAAGCTATGCTGCCAATGGGGGGGGGCATGAGAGTCAAGGATGCTTCCTTCATGTCTCTGGAATTTTGGGTTTCACTTCTCACTGGCTCTCTTATCTTTTAGCTCAGGCAAGTGACCTTGACGATTTGCTTTGACAATTTGCCAGCTCGGCTGTGAACCTGGGAGCTTACAGACCTAATAATCAAGAGACTCCCAGAGTATAGTGGTTTATTTGAGCAGCATACAGAACCAGGGAAAGTGCATCATATAGTTTGGTGCAACAAGGGTCCGGTCGAGACCCCTGGAGGAACCTTGGCCGCACCAGAAGACACACCTTGGGACAGTCAGCCCCCGGCCGCTGCAGACGACCCCCCGGAAACCGAGACAGCGGCCGCAGAGGCTCCAGCACCACCTCAGGCTCCCGCCCCAGAGGGCGGGACCCAGGGGGCCCCAGAGCAGGGCCCCAGACCATCCGCGAGGGTACGACGGTCCCCATCGTACCTTAAAGACTATGTCTCATAGGGGAGGTTCCGGACTAGGGGGAGGGATGTTGTGTCCGCTGACCACCACCGGAGGTCAGCACACACGCCTGAGCTCAGCCCAGGACAACAACGGGACTAGGTTACTAGTCTCGCCACTGGGGGAAAACCAATGGGACCAAGGTGGGATACTATAACCCGCCAATGGCCAATGTGCCCCAGGGGTGGTCCCCTGGTATTGTATATAGTTGGCCGGCCGTCCATTTTCCCTTCCCTTTTTGTTGTGTATCCAATAAAGCGTGCTATGCACTATATGGTCGTATGTCATTCGCTCACGCGGCTTCCCACTACACAATAAACACACTCTTCTCAGCAAACAGTAAATCCTGGCTTGAGTCCAGTGTCACCTTTAAGATCAACACATGAGCTGTTTTGTGCACAAACACTCTTCTTCAGATACAGTGAAATATAAAGAGAAGGGTGAGCAGCATCCTCCCAGGTAACCCAAGCCTGTCACTCACCGAATCAAACTGGCATCATGCTCAAACAGAGACTCTTGCCAAGTATCATCACTTATCGTCTCATCCATGTATAAAATAAGCAACACAGATGTCCTACCACAAGCCTGTAAACCATCAAGCTTCTAATCACTTATAATCTCAGCCATGTATAAAATAAGCATCACCACAAGCCTGTAAACACAAATGTATACACACCTCCAGAGACTTGGAAAAGTTATGTGTGCAGAGGGGCTGCAGGTAAGGGGGCGGATGAGAGTCAAGGATGCTGGCTGGGGCGCTTCCCTCCTCCCCCCCCCCCCTTGGTAGGAAGTGACTGGAAGGCAAGTAAGCTATGCTGCCATGGGGGGGGATGCGCCAAGAGAGTCAAGGATGCTGGATGTGTCACGCGTGGGGCATGGATGGAAACCCGTCTTGGGCAGCAGCAGCTCACAAAGTAGGAGTGAGCAGCAGCAGCAGCTCACAAAGTAGGATTTTTCCCGCCGGCGCAGAACCTCCACCACCCGCGCGCAAATACACTCAACTCATGGTTAAGAAAGCGTGAAGTTGCTGCCTTGGACTCTTTTACTCGCCTTAGACAATTTTAAGATTAGAAGAGCCCTGCTGGATCAGACCAGCGAACAGCGGCGCAGACCCCCCTCCTCCGCGCAGACCCTCCCTTAATGCCAGCAGCTCACAAAGTAGGATTTTTGCTCACCAGACGCCACAGCTTCAAGGGAGCCTTAATCCGCCCCAATGTAGTGAGCAGTGACTCATGAAATCTCATACCATACCAAACGTTTTGTTAGTCTTTAAGGTGCTACTGGGTTCACTATTTTCAGCTTATCTCCAGTCATCAGTTTTCCCGGAGAAAATGGCAGCTTGGGAGGGCAGACTGTATGGTTTACCAGAGATTCTAGGTGAAATGTCTCTGCAAATCCCCCCCTGCACACAGGCACACTCTCCAGGAATTTCCCAGGCCAGAGTTGGCAACCCTAGATGGGGTTTATATCTGAAGGAAATTCTTGGTTTGTAAGGAACAACCCCCCGCCTCCTTGAAACGTGAACATTGGATGAGGTGTGAGGAAAAAGCACTCTGTACATGGCCAGAAGCACTGGGGAATTTCAGACAGGTGCTTTCTCCCGGTAGGGAACCGATTCTCAACCGGGTGCTGGTCTGTCATTTCAGACAGAACCCGGTTGAGAATCGGTTCCCTACCGGGATCTGACTGCCATTTCACACTCAAAAGTCTCTCTTCCGTATAGGAACCGGGAGGGAAGCGATTTACCTGTCAACCGCTTCCGAGGAGTCTCCCGTTCCCTCTCCCGGTTCCGATACGGTTCTTTCCCGCCTTTTTTCGGCCGCGCGGGCTTTTTTTTTTTTGAACGTTCGGCTTATATCGATATATCGATATAACGCTATAGCGATCCCATTGGAATACATTGGAATACCGGTATATCGATATATCGCTATAAGACGGACTTTAAAAAAAAAAAAAAAACCGGGGGGAAACAAAGCGGTGCGTGTGTGAAACGCCGAACCGCTTGTGAATCGGCTCCTTTCCGGTAGGGGCAAGCCGTGTGTGAAACGGCAGCCCTGTACCGGTTCATCTGGAAACGGAAGACTCCCGGCTTGAAACCGGGAGAAGACAGGTAATGTGAAATTCCCCACTGTTATTGCTTCCCAACTTCCAGAGCTTAGCTCTGATTTTTTTTAAAAAAAATCTTAGATTGAGTCTGGCTCCAATATAAGCCAAGAAAGCCAGAAAAAGGCAGTAAATTATACTATTTTTAAGGATCTTTGTGGGGGCGTCAGGGTTCTTGTGCAGAAATTCAGCAGTCTTTTCTTGAAATGAAGCACCTGCTGAAAAAAAATGCCTGTTATAGAAGAAGAAGAAGAAGAGATTGGATTTATACCCCGCCCTTCACTTGGAGTCTCAGAGCGGCTTACAAACTCCTTTCCCTTCCCCTCCCCACAACAGACACCCTGTGAGGTGGGTGGGGCTGAGAGAACTCTGACAGAAACGGCTCTTTTCCAAGGACAGCTGTGCCAGAGCTTGTGACTGACCCAAGGTCACATCAGCAGGTGCAAGTGGAGGAGTGGGGAATCAAACCCGGTTCTCCCAGATTAGAGTCCGCACACTTAACCACTACACCAAACAGTTATGAAGCTGTTGAAGGCACAGGAGCCCGGCAAGACAGGAAAATTGGCACTGCTGCTAACAAATGATTTGCCCTTTGTAAAACAGACCTCCAACGAATGCTAAACAAACAGCAGATAGGAATATGGGTGGAAGAGAAACACATATTTTATCTTGCAAAAGACTAGACTTACTGGCATCTCATCAGTCAATTATCCCGAAAAATAAATTAGGGGGAACCTACCCAGCCAACATCCCAGCCCACCTAAACTTTGACAAACTGATTGGGAACAGGTGAGGACTCCTGCAGAGGAAGGCAGCAATTTATATATAAGTTTGACTTCCTCCGGAAGTCCTCTGAAAGTGGGATGCTGCTTCTTTTTGTGAACAGCAGATCTGAACTTGGCTTTCGAGGGGGAGTTGCTGCTATGCCGTCTCTCTGCTTTGCCTGGTAAGAGAGCTGTGGGTTCCCATTAGTTGAGGATGGTTTTGTTGTGGCAGTGAAGTGTGGGAGGGTCTCTTCTTAATCTGGTTCATAGGGGCGAGGTATGTGCTGCCTTGAAAGCCATATGAGTTTGTGGGATACGTCTTTGCAAAGTATACTGGACGGCCGTGTTCCCTCTAAGCTGAGTGAGTGTGAGCTAGCTCACAGTTTTTTAGCCTCCGGCTCTCACGTTTTTGTCTCAGCTCAGGAAGGAGGGCTCTCTAGAGCAAACAGATTTATGCAGTACCCAAATTGTTTGCTCACAACTTTAATGCCAGTAGCTCACAAAGTACAGTGTTTGCTCACAAGACTCATGGCTTAGAGGGAGCATTTGCTGGAGAGGTTAAAGAAGATATAGTTTATTTAATATAGGTAAATGAGACCCCCCCCCCAAAAAAAAAGCTTTCTGCTGATAGATTTCAGGTGGGTAGCCATGTGGGTCTGAAGCAGCAGAACAAAGTTGGCGTCCAGGGGCACCTTTTAAGACCAGCAAAACTTTATTCAAGGCTTTTGTGTGCCATGCACACTGACAAAGTGTGCTTGCACACAAAAGCTTATACTGTGAATAAATCATACAGCCAATGCTGTCTCTAAACTGTGGAGTCTTGTGAGCAAAATGTCTACTTTGTCTGCTACTGGCATTAAAGTTGTGAGTGAGCGATTTGGCTGCTGCATCAATTAGTTTGCTCTGGAGCCCTCCTTCCTGAGCGAAGACAAAAATGTGTGAGCCGAAAGCTAAAAAAGTGTGAGCTACCTCACACTAACTCAGTTTAGAGGGAACACTGCATACAGCCAATCTGCCAGAGTAGTGTTCCCCCCCCCACAACTGATTTTTATCATCTGGAGATCAGCTGTTATTCTGCTAGGCCCTCTCTCTGTGGAGTTGGCAACCCTGTGTGACATAACATAGAAGACTTTTTTTTTTAAAGGCAAGAGAGAAGTGGTTCAAGGTTAGCTTGTTCATGCAAATTGTGTTTACTGGAGGATATCTGCACCGTTTCCTTTAACAGCCGTCTCATCCAATTAAGTGATCGCATGTCCACCAATTAGAGATGCTTCCGTTCTGCTTTGTTCAGGCCAACGTGGACACCCCCAAACAGCCTGCAGGGTTTTTGAGCTTTCTAAAATTATCTTTCAGGCTAGGTGTGGTGGAAGAGAGAGAGAGGAAAGCGAAGATGTGCCAGCCCCTGATCTTATAGCCTAGAGCCCATATCTTGTACAGATCATCGGTTCTCTAGTGGGTTGGGAAATTCCTGAAGATTTGGGAGTGGAGACTGGGGAGGGTGGGGTCTAGGGCAATGCTCCCTCTAAGCTGTGGAGTCTTCTGAGCAAAAATTCTACTTTGTGACTCGCAATGTTCCCTCTAAGCTGAGTTAGTGTGAGCTAGCTCACAGTTTTTGAGCCTCTGGCTCACACATTTTTGTCTTGGCTCAGGAAGGACGGCTCCAGAGCAAACTAGTTTATCCAGCAGCCAAATCTCTTGCTCACAACTTTAATGCCAGTAGCTCACAAAGTAGAATTTTTGCTCACAAGACCCCACAGCTTAGAGGGAGCTACAGGCATTAAAGTTGTGAGTGAGCCATTTGTCTGCTGCATAAATTAGTTTGCTCTGGAGCCCTCCTTCCTGAGCTGAGACAAAAATGTGTGAGCCGGAGGCTAAAAAAACCCTGTGAGCTAGCTCACACTAACTCAGCTTAGAGGGAACCCTGGTCTAGGGACCTCAGGGGGGTTTAAGGCCATAGAGCAGGACTCACCAGCCCTTTTCAGTCGGTGGGCACCTTGAGAATTCTAACACATTGTGGTGGGCGCGGGAGGCAAAGCCAGACCCAAAACAGCTGCCACAGCTCTCCTTCAGTCGCACCTAGAATCAGAGAGTTGGAAGGGACCTCCAGGGTCATCTAGTCCAACCCCCTGCAAGATGCAGGAAACCCGCAAATACCTTGCCCCTCCCACACACCCCAGGGACCACTGCTCCATGCCCAGAAGTTCTTGTGTTACAAGTGAAGATTTTGTGATAACAGTGGTAGCTTCTGCCCAAGCAATATTAAAAAAAAAAATCTGCACAGCCAATCAAATCGCCAATGGCTAATCAGAAGCCTTGCTAGGCAGAAGTCCCACCTGGCCCCACCCACTTTCTAAAAACACTTGGCAGGCACCAGGGAAGGTGTTGGCACCACGTTGGAGACCTCAGTGTTCCCTCTAAGCTGAGTTAGTGTGAGCTAGCTCACAGTTTTTTAGCCTCTGGCTCACACATTTTTGTGTTAGCTCAGGAAGGATGGGGCTCCAGAGCAAAGTAATTTATGCAGCAGCCAAATTTCTCGCTCACAACTTTAATGCCAGGAACTCACAAAGTAGAATTTTTGCTCAAAGGACTCTACAGCTTAGAGGGAGCATTGCCTCTGCCATATATTCTGCCCTCCAAAGCAACTGTTTTCTCCACAGGAACTGATCCCTGTTGCCTGGAGTTCTGTTGTAATTTTGGAAGGTCTCCAGGCTCCACCCTGAGGCGGGCAACTCTAGTACAAACCCACCTGCTAGGAAAGTCGTAATAAGACTATTATTAGTACCGGGTTCTAGTTGAGCTTCTTTCCTCAGAACAATAGCTTACTAGGATCCTGGAGTAGACCCACTGAGTAACAGTGTAATGTAAATAGCCTGTCACTGAGAGTGGGGTGCATTTGGGTGTGGTGATTGCATGCTTTAGAACAGGACAGCGGCAATGTTCCCTCTAAGCTATGGAGTCCTGTGAGCAAAAATCTACTTTGTGAGCTACTGGCATTAAAGCTGTGAGCAGGTGATTTGGCTACTGCATCAATTAGTTTGCTCTGGAGCCACCCTTCCTGAGCAAAGACAAAAATGTGTGAGCCGGAGGCTAAAAAATTGTGAGCTGGCTTAGAGGGAACACTGGGCAACGGCCCTGGAGTTTTGTCCTGTGTGTTCCTGAAATCACTAAATAAAGTAGAGCTGATATACTGCAATGCGCCCAGAACCCAGTATTTAACACCGTGTAAACCCTGTGCGGCAGGGCTATTTTTGGGCAGGAATTCACAGGAACGGAGTTCCAGCAAAAGGTGGGTGTGGCTGGATGACCACACTTCTGGTAACATGGGGGTGTGGCCTAATGTGCTAAGGAGCTGTGCTGGAAGGGCTGCGGCCTAATATGCTAATGAGTTTCTGGTGTTGGGTGTGGCCTATTATGCTAATGAGTTCCTGCTGGGCTTTTTCTACAAAAAGAGCCCTGCAGTGTGCGGCATTTTCCAGGGTGTCCCTCTCTTCAAGGGATCTGTATGCTCCTATCTTGGTGTCATCCACTTTTCACAGGTCACAGTGCAGAGACCTAAACCATCAACTTGATAAGGCTTTGTGGAGCGGGATTCTTTCCTGTCCTCTTCTGCCAGATGTGCGTGTCGAATATAGGGTTGCCACTTGGCAGCTATTGGTTGGGAAACACCTGGAGATTTTGGGGGTGGAGCCTGAGGAGGGTGGGGCTGGGGGGGAGGGACTTCAAAGGGGTTTAATGCCACAGAGTCCACCTTCCAAAGCAGCCATTTTCTCTAGGGGAGCTGATCTCTGATCAGCCGGAGGCTGGCAACCCTAGTCAAATAAGAGCAGAAGTCAACCAGGGGTCATTTCCTGCGAGAGCGCACAGGAGCGGAGCTCCGGCAGTAAGGAGCCCAGGGGGCGGGCACATGCAACAAGCCCCGCCCCCTGCTCCCAGCTGCCCTCAGTCACCACGAGGAGGAAGAAGCAGCCAGGTAAGTTGCAGAGCCCCCCCGGCCCGCCCTCAGGTACAAGCTCTTTCTCCTCTGTGAGGGCAGATCTGCGCATTCCCCCCGCCCCCAATAGCTAGCAATCCAAAACAGTCCAGTGGAGCCTGAGCAGTTGGGTGTTGCCTTCTGACACACTTCTGGTGATGCCAGGGGGTGTGGCATATGCAAATAAGTTATGCTAATAAATTATGCTAATAAATTATGCTAATAAATTATGCTAATGAGCTCCTGCACCTCTTTTTCTACGGAATGACCCCTGCACTTAACTGTCCTGTTTTGGGCTTCCTCTGCAGCTTGGCCCTGCTATGTGTGCTCCTGCCCCAGGAAGTGACATCTGTGCCATTTCCTCCAGGTGAGTACTGGACTTTTTCCTTGTGGATCTACTGGCCTGTAAGACGGAGCTCTTCCGCCAGGCGTATGAGTAGGAGCTGCCACTACCACCACTACCACCACTACCATCACTATTGTTCCATCTTAACCTGGCCCTGGAAGAAGGAACATCAGTGTTTTCCGGACCAGATGACGCTGAGTGGGTAGAGCAGTTGCAATAGAGCAGTTGTAATACGCCATCTTATGGAGTATCACGTTAAAACATCTAGAGCACTTTTGTTAATAATAATGTTTTGTACTGTAGTGATTTTAAATATGTTTTGTATTGGCTTTGCCTCCCGTAAGCCGCCCTGAGCTCGCGTAGCGAGGAGGGCGGGGTATAAATTGAAACAAACAAACAAATAAATAAATAAATTAGGAAGGATGAAGGCAATAGATGGGTGCCCCTTCAGTCTCTGTTATTTGCCCTTTCCCTGGAAGTTATGGCTGGTGTTGCCGCTTCAGTATGGGTTTGTTGCATTCTTGTATAGCTGCAGCATGTGTGTAGTGTGCTTGTCAGAGGTCATTTCGGGGGGGAACGCGGGGGAACACAGTTCCCCCGGGTGAGGTGAGGGGGCGGGGCACACGATGAAGCCCCGCCCCCTGCTTCCAGCCGCCCCGCTTCCAGCCCTCATTCAGCCAGGAGGAGGCAGGAAAAGAGGGAGGGAAAATTGCTTCCTGCCCGCCTCTCTCCACCCCTGCCTGCCTGGGGCCAGGGAGGGCCTTGGTGGGGCTTCCTCGCACTCCCGCTGGCCTTGCAGGTCCACCGTCGGGCCCCTGATGTCAGGGGGTGTGGCATATGCTAATTAGTTATGCTAATGAGTTCCCCTAGCTCTTTTTATACGAAATGACCCCTGGTGCTTGTGTTGGGGGCCCCTTATCTTACCGCCTTTGGAAGGCGGACTCCATAGCACCGTATCCCTTACCTTTAAAACCTGTGAACAGATATTATTATTATTGTAAGATTAAGGTGAACTAGAGAGTTACTTCATCAGGGACACAAAATGAGTCCTCCAATTTGTAAGGGGTGGTGGTGGAATAAACGTTAACATCAATGATAAAACGCATGAGAGAGTCTGACATTTCTATACAAAGTTGTCCAAGCTAGGGGCAGTGACTAATCACAACCGATGCAACTTGTTATTCGTTATGTTAAACAATTATAAAATTGTAATGACTAAGAATACTGTTGACTCTGTTCAAACCCCGGTTGATACATGAAGCCTATTGATAAACTCTGTAACTTTGCATTTCAAAATCTCTTTTTGAAATTCCTTCACTGTAGCCAAAACCACCATGTTTCAACAGAATGACGTATCAGACTCATGCAGAATTGCATTCAGTGTGTGTTTTTAGTGACCCTGCCCCCATAGCACTGTGAGCTCTTGCCAAGTTTTAAGGTGCCGCTGGACTCCTGTCTAAATCTACCAAATTAACAAGGGGGGCAGGAGGAGACCCAGGGCTATTTTTGGGCAGGAACGCACAGGAACGGAGTTCCGGCTGGCTTCCAAGTTGGCCACGCCTAGCAGGAACTCATTAGCATAATAGGCCACACCCAACAGCAGAAACTCATTAGGATTAGCTACATTAGGGGTGTGTGGCCTAACATGCAAAGGAGTTCCTGCTACAAAAAAAGCCCGGGGTTTGGACAGCAAACAAGGTAAACAGAATAAGAAGCAAAAGGTGGGTGTGGCTGGATGAGCACACTTCTGGTAACATGGGGTGTGGCCTAATATGCCAATAAGCTGTGCTGTCATGGGTGTGGTCTAATATGCTAATGAGTTTCTGCTGTTGGGTGTGGCCTATTATGCTAATGAGTTCCTGCTGGGCTTTATCTACAAAAAGAGCCCTGAGGAGGCCTATACTGTGTGGAGCATGAACCAGCCTCTCTTTGATGGGACATCTTTCTTTGGAAGGTGCTGCACGAACCGAATGTCGGGGCCGCTACTTTTGGATATGGCTGGATAAAGCCACTCTAGGCCAGAACGTGTGGCGCTATGGAGTCTTCAGTAAGTATTTCAGTAGACTGGGCTCTTCAGCCTTCTTTCTAATACCAAGACCATAGAAGCTGGCTGTAATTTCTCAGTTGGCAGCACAGGGCAGGGGAAAAGACTCTGTGCATATTCAGAAACATGTTTTTTTTTAAAAATTCTAGGGGAAAAAATAAGCTCTACTAGTTCCTGCCAACCTAGCAGTTCGAAAGCAAGAAATTGCAAGTAGATAAATAGGTACCACTTCAGTGGGAAGGGAACAGCGTTCCGTGCGCCTTGGTGTTTAGTCATGCCGGCCACATGACCCCGGAAACGTCTTCGGACAGCGCTGGCTCTTCGGCTTTGAAACGGAGATGAGCACCGCAACCCTAGAGTTGGATTCGACTGGCTTTTGAGCAAGGGAACCTTTACCTTTTATCGGTTTCCCCAACCTGGTGGCCATGGGCACCATTGAGCCCACAACACCTTTACTGGCACTAGCCAAGTGTTCTTAGACAATGGGGGGGCAGGTGGGGCTTTTGCCCCACACAGCTTCTGATTGGCTATTGGAGATTTGATTGGCTATGGAGATCTTTAAAAACATGACTTTGGCAGCAGCTGCCACCACAGTTGCTGTGTGACTGAAGGTAAGCTGTGGCGGCCATTTTGTGGCTGGCTCCGCCTCCTGCGGCAGCCATTCTGTGTCTGTGCCCACCACACTGTGTCCCACTGGGACCTGGGGTCTGGTATCCCTAATGGAAACGTCCTTTGGCAAAATGTATTTTCTAAGGCAACTTTGCACCTGTTGCTACTGGGAAATGCTGAAGGGACCAGATGCTGCTGGACTGCCTGGAGAAAGCCTTGGATCCTGCTCTCTTAAAGGCAAACTGAAGCATGGGTCCAATGTTTTTGCTGACGGGGAGTGGGGATTCAAGATCCCATGCGATGCAGCGGCTAGAGTGTCGGTCTGGGATACGGGAGACACGAGATAAGAAGAAGAGAAGATTGGATTTATACCCTGCCCTTCCCTAGCTGAAGAAGCCTCAGAGTGGCTTCAATCCCTTTCACTCCCCCTCCCCACAACCGACACCCTGTGAGATAGGTGGGGCTGAGAGAGCTCTTTCGAGAACTGCTCTGGAAGAACTTGTGACTGACCCAAGGTCACACCACCAGCTGCATGTGGAGGAGTGGGGGATCAAACCCGGTTCTCCCAGATTACAGTCTGCGCTCCTAACCACTACACCAAACTGGGTCTCTAAATTGCTGGGGGGGGGCTTGGGGTCAGTTGCTCGCTCTCAGCCTGCCTCTCAGGGTTGTTATGTTTCTAAAGTGAGGCAAGAAGAACCCTTAACATGTCCTGAACTCCTTGGGATTAAGATGTCCTAAACTCCATGCTCTTAATAGAAATAGTGCAGTCAGGGGTCATTTCCTGCAGGAGCGCGCAGGACTGGAGCTCCAGCAGTAAAGAGCCCAGGGGGCGGGCACATGCAGCAAGCCCCACCCCCTGCTCCCAGCAGCCCTCAGTCAGAGCAAGAAGCAGCCAGGTAAGTTGCAGTGCCCCCCCGGTCCAAAACAGTCCAGTGGCACCTTTAAGACCAAGTTTTATTCAGGTACAAGCTCTCCCTCCTCTGCGAGGACAGATCTGCACGACCCTCCCCCCCATAGCTAGCAATCCAAAAGAGTCCAGTGGAGCCTGAGCGGTGGGAGTTGCCTTCTGACACACTTCCGGTGACGTCAGGGGGTGTGGCATATGCAAACGAGTTATGCAAATGCGTTATGCTAATGAGCTCCTGCACCTCTTTTTCTACGAAATGACCCCTGAGTGCAGTACTGATGGGGTTGCCAGCCTCGGGCTGGAGATCTCCTGGGATCCCAACGGATCTCCAGGCCACAGAGATCGGTTCCCCTGGAGGAAATGACTGCTTGGGAGGATGGACTCTATGGCCTTATACCCGGCTGAGGTCCCTCCCCGCCCCACCCCAAGCCCCGCCCTCCTCCTCAGGCTCCAGGTATTTCCCAACCTGGACCTGGCAACTCTGCGTACCAGCCGCTAGGCTTATGAGGCCAGGGCACCAAACATTGGTCTGCTGCTCTTTCCCAGACAACGTCGGCCAGCTCATCCCTGTGACGGAGCAGGTCGCCTCCCAGTGCGGCTTCACAAGTGACACCGACCTGCACGGCAACCCAGAGATCAGAGTCTCTTTCCTGGCCTGTTCCATCCAGAATCTGGTAAGCCCTACGCCTTGGAAATGTTACTTGGTTTCCTTTCCTAAGGTTCCTGGGACCCTCCCCAGGGAATGAACGGGACCACAGTGCTTATCCAGATGCTGAACCTTCAATAGTGAAGTGCCGTCAGGCAATGCTCCCCTCTCAGCTGTGGAGTCCCTTGAGCGGAAATTCCACTTTGCGAGCGACTGGCATTCAAGTTGCGAGCGAGTGATTGGGCCGCTGCATGAATTAGTTTGCTCTGGAGCCCAGACAAAAATGTGTGAGCCGGTGGCTAAGAAACTGTGAGCTAGCTCACACTCACTCGGCTTAGAGGGACCACTGCCGTCAGGTACACAGGCCGCTCCCATTGACCCCATCCTGTGGGTTTTCATGGCAAGAGAAGAGCAGCACTTCAGCTACATTAAATCTTAAGAATGTTGTGGGATGTATTCCCCAGTATTTGTATAATCTTGATAGTCCTAGCCATCGAAGAGCTTTCTCCCTTGCTCGAGTAAATGCCTTTCCATCAAAAATACTGTATGGTAGGTTCCAAAATATTCCTAAGCACAAACGGAGATGTGACTGCGGCTCTATCTCTCTTGATTCAATTGATCACATATTGTTAGACGGTTCGTGACATGCATCTGCTAGGGAAAAATGGTTAAACACTTGGTTGTATGGTAAACATCACCTTCCTAATGAAATAAAATGCCAGTTTCTATTGAACGATATAACAGCAGAGATTACTGTGGCAGTGGCTAATTTTTTAGTTGATGTGATAAGAGTGAAAAACTTGGGAAACTCTGTTCCATGGTTTTATAATTTACTCAGACTTTTAGATGATTGTTTCATCTAGTGTCTCTGATTTTAATGTTGTATATGCCATTAAAGGTTTATTGATTGATTGATTGTATTATTGCAAATAGTGATTTTAGTTGACAAGACAATAATATGTTGTTGAAACTAAACTGTTCGTGATTTTAGTTTTCAAATGTCTTTCGTGGGGACTGGCCCACGTGTGCACAAACCTCCCCCTCCCCCCCAAGTGCCCCCGGAGCGCTGATTTAGCGATCCGCACTCCGGGGGCAACTTGGCTATTAGATATATAGATGATACAACAGTAGAGATTACTGTGGCAGTGGCCAATTTTTTAGTTGATGTGATAAGAGTGAAAAACGTGGGAAACTCCGTTTTATGATTTTATAATTATCTCAGATTTTTAGCTGATTGTGTCATTTACCGTCTCTGATTTTAATGTTGCATATGCCATTAAAGGTCTATTGATTGATTGATTGATTGATTGAAGAGAAGAGCACACTGTTAGACAGAACCGTAGCTCATTTTACAACACTGGGTGTTCTTTCCTGTCCAGTTTGACCAGGAGTTCAGCTTGAAGCTACAGGTGGAGATAACCAGTCCGGCGGACCTGACTGTGGCTTATGACGTGTCCATGACTTGCCCCCTTGGTGCCCCATGGAGCCCCCGGGAAATTGTCTGTGAAGAAAACTACATGGAGGTTTGTTGGAAGGGTGGCTGTGTGCGCCCAGGCACTGAAGGGATTTGGTTCTGTACACACGTCCGTTAAACAGATGGCTTGTGATCATGTGGCCTGTAAAAATGGTGGTGTTTTGCCTGCTGTTAAGTCGCTCACTTAACAAAGCAGTTGGAGAGTGATTCAGCAAGAACACAACTTTATTCTTCAACTCGAACACAACCCCAACACAGATCAACATCTGATAGCCAGAACAGTTCAGCTTTTACATTGCAGTTGTCCTGCTTTTAAACTCTCCTGGCTAATGTAGCCACACCCACTGTACAAATACCAACCAATACGGTTGTTCATATAAGGACCAATCACGGACGTTCCCGCTCAGGGAGCTTGCTGTAAAGTGATTGGCTAGGTGCTTCCTGGGCTAGCAATGCGATTGGATGGATTTGGATCCTAGCCCAGGATGAAGCTCAACATGGCATGTCAATTGGATGTTTCACATACATCATGCATTCAATGGCAGCTATTGAATACATTACACCTGCGGACGTCGGAAAGGGGCTCTGCTGAGGAGGGAGGAAAAAACATGCTTGTGTGGAAGAGACCACGAGGGTGACCCCTCGCCAACTTGGTTCCAGAGTGCCCCCAGTCCCCCGCCATCCCGTTCCTTAACCTGCAGCAGGAAGCCCTTCTGGGCCATGCTCCGGGACATTGGTGTCTTGGTTTCGGCCTCCGGTAACGCCATCTGGCTTCTAGTGGCCTTCCCTAACTTGGCGCGCGGCACATACATCTCATAGGCCCAGTTTCTGTTTGTAAGGGAAAGCAGTGCTTCAATAGTAAGATCGTTTCTATTTGCAGTTTTGTAGATAACAAATGTTTGGGGAGGGACTGTGGTTCAGAGGAAGAGCCCCTTTTACTACAGATCTCCAGCCGGCACAGATCAGTTCCCCTGGAGAAAATGGCTGCTTTGAAGGGCTCTATGGCCCTTCTAATGTCCTGGCCCCACTGGTGGACCTCCTGATGGTACTGGTATTTCTGGCCACTGTGTGATACAGAGTGTTAGACTGGATGGGCCTTTGGCCTGATCCAACATTGGCATCTCTTATGTTCTTATGGCCTTGAACCATGCGGAGGCCCCTCCCCTCCCCAAACCCCGCCCTCTCCTGGCTCCACCCCCAAAGTCTCCAGGTATTTTCCAACCCAGACTTGGCAACCCTATTAGGAGCACGGACTCTAATCTGGGAGAACTGGGTTTGATTCCCCTCCTCCACATGCAGTTTGCTGGTGTGACCTTGGGTCAGTCACAAGTTCTTTCAGAGCTGTTCTCTCACTGGCAGTTCTCAGGAGAGCTCCCTCAGCCCCACCTACCTCACAGGGGGTCTGTTGGGGGGAGGGGGAGGGAAAGAAGATTGTAAACCGCTCTGAGAATCCTTCGGGTTGTGAAGGGCAGGGTATAAATCCAATCTCTCTTCCTCCTCCTCCTCATGCAGAAGGTCCTGGGTTCAATACCTGGCATCTGCTGCCAGTCTGAGCAGGCAATACTGAAGTCGATATCAGCAGCTTCATGTGTGTGAATTCACTGTCTTGGTGTTCATGCTCCGTAACGTAAAGCCCCTGACTGCTAGATGGCATCACCGTGGTAATGCAGGACTACGTGTGAGGAGGGTTTATAAGCTTGTGGCAACCCTTGCTTCTGGCCCCTTCACCACTATCTGAAGAGTTGCTCACCCCATTGTGGCGCTGAAAGAGCACTTGGTTCAATGTGTTAGCTGGCATGGAGTTGGAAACTGGCTGGAAAGTGTTGGACCGGCTGACCTGCGGCTTCCCTTTCAGGTGTCCGTCCGGCGTGCAGTCCCAGGCATAGCGAGTGAAGCCTTGAATGAAGACTGGATCGCCGTCTGGCCCGTGGTGAGGAACTGGGAGGTGGCGTGGTATGCTGGAGGGGAGAGACCAAGGAAAGTGTGAAGGAGAGGGTTAGGGTCAGAGGTCATTTCGGGGGGATCACGGGGGATCGCAGTTCCCCCGGGTGAGGTACGGGGGCGGGGCACATGACAAAGCCCCGCCCCCTGCTTCCGGCCGCCCCGCTTCCGGCCCTCATTCAGCCAGGAGGAGGCAGGAGAAGAGGGAGGGTAAGTTGCTTCCTCCCCGCCTCTCCCCACCCCTGCCTGCCTGGGGCCAGGGAGGGCCTTCGCGGGGCTTCCTTGCACTCCCGCCGGCCTTGCAGGTCCACCGCCGGGCCCCTCATGTCAGGGGGTGTGGCATATGCTAATGA